GGCAAATTTTTCGATAAAACTCGAAATATTTAAAAAGTATTCGAAACATTCATAGGTTTGCTTATTTTTTTTAATGCGGATTAAAGATATGATATTAGTTTTAATTCAATTTCTATTTTTCTAGCTAAAATTTACTAAATATTAATGAAAAACCTGCAATTTATTTTGCGTGTTCGAGACTTTATTTCTGTCAAAATAGATCAACTCAATTATTTATTCCTTTATTTTATAAAAATAAATGATTCCTTTATCTTTATTTTCTAAAGATATAGGACCATTTATCTTTAGAAAATAAAGATAAAGGATTCATTTATCATTATTTTTTAAAGTAACACTAAATGACCACCCCTAATTATATAGGATAGTTAGGAACAGAACAAGTCTTTGTAGAATTTTGGAAGATTAGGCAGTTAACAAATGAAGTGAGCAAAGAAAGTTGATAACTACAGTGAAAGAGTAGATGATATATATCGCATATCAATGTAAAATTATCCAACGTCTGAGTAGTATTTCAAGAATGTTCTCAAAAATCTAGCTAATTATATGTATATTCATGTACTTCATTATGATACTTTTACCTGCTTATGATGTTAGAATAGATTCAAAGCTCGTATAAACACTGGCATATTCGTAGTAGAACGATATATCAGTCACAACATTTCTCAACTGCCTTTTGTTTCCTTACGAAGAAAACTTGCATAGTGTAAAGGATAAATAAGTATAACAAAAGGAGAACGGAAAGAGAACATGCTCGAAAAGCTAAGTATCAACACAGTTCTAGTAATAACAAAACATTTGATATAAGGAAGTCAATGAAAAGAATAACAATATCAAAAGAGACAACAGAAGTTTTGTTGTGTTGATGTGTATGACGTCGAGCACAAAAATGTCAAAATAAAATGCGTACACATTTGAGACCAAAGACAAGCGATGACAAAGGACATAATGGGTATCAATGTGTAGAACAGCTTGTATCTACTTTTTGCCACGGAGTTGTCGATCGTTCTACAGTGATGGTAATTAATGTCATAAAGTAATATAAGAAAATTGTATTATTCTTCTATTTAGAGTAGACAACTAAGAACTATCAATCATGTCATAGAAAAGCGTCAGGATAGCTATGAAATATAACAGTTCCATTAACAATCAAATTATCTTGCGTACTCATATTCTGTCTTTTGTTAATTTTGTCGAGACAAACGTCTTTAAATATAATAGATATTTGAATATATCGAAATTTGATTGCTAAAGTAAACCGACATAATCATATATTCATGTTTGTTTTTTCTGTAACTTAGAGCAGTCTCTAGATATCAATTGATTACCATAAATAAATTATATTACAAATAAAATGTATCCATTTGTCGTTCTACTATCTTTGATTCTGCTCATCATCTATTAAATACATTGTATCACAGGAGAAAAGTTATTGTTTCTTGAAACTGATTGAATAGATTACACTTTCACTAATAACTGAGTAAATCCATCAACATCCGATTATTCTTCGGATTTTTTTTCTTAATCTCTTTCCAGTTAATTGAATGGGAACTAGTTAGAATAGTTTGTGAATCTGAAGGATTCTTTTTTTTTTTATCGCGAATTGATCAAACTATGCATTTTTCGAAAATATACACACAGCACATTTCCATACTATGATAGGCTAAAGTCGTTTGTGGGTGTAGGTGGGTGGGTGTGGGTGTGGGTGTGGGTTAAGGAAAGATCAACACCCACACCCACCGGCATCTGCACCCACGCGCCCACACCCACCCACACCCATCGCACCAACACCCATACCCACACCCTTCTTTTACATCTTCGTTGTATGTTTTATCTTATATTGTTTTAGTTATTATGATAACATTTTTTTGATAATGTAAAACAATTGATATGATCAAAAGACATTGCACAAATTGAAGCCTTTTGTCGTATGAAAATTTTTTTATGATTACTATTTGCTATCTCGTCCACGAACTTGTTCTTGTGCAAATAAATCAAGTCGACAAGTGAAACTAGAATGATATACTAATGTAGAATTGTACAATTAGACGTATTCACGAAATTAAAAAAACATCAATCGTCTTGATTTGATCTACAGACATTCCGAGCTAGACTAGCAAAAGAAAAAAGTGATCTGTCAGCAGCTCTGAGCAGAACATCACTGAAAAATATCTTCAAATCTATATGATATTCTCTACAGGCATTATCTCATATGATTTATTTCTTTTTTCAAAACTCAAATATCAACTATATTAGATTATATTCGACCACAACAATAATACAATGCTAAGTATTGTAGAACAAATTTCTATCGACGTTGTATAAGCGAATACGTTGTGCATTAATCATGATACTTTGAAAAACAACACTAAAACCAGATTTTGAATTTTTATCCAAAGGATTGATGAAAAAAAAACTTTTAAAGTGTCCCATGTAAAACAAAAATCATTCGTTATTAATTCTGTATGATTTTTTTCTACGATGTTCAAAAGTAATTTTTGCATTTATTACACAATGAATGAATGAAATCAGTGATAATTACAGTGGATGGTGTACAACACGATTCCAATGACTTAGTTAATCAAATGCTCAATTGCGCATATTTTTGTTAAATTACCGAAGCAGATTAGATCAGATTAGTCTTCGATGCATGAGCAAGCCCATGTCGACAATCATCTCTCTGGCAATAGCATGATTCAATGCTGATTTGGAGTCGAAGACATACTTGAGAAATTCTCCATCGCATAAAAAATTAAAAATAAAATCGATACGTTCGTGGCTATTGCGTGATAGACGATTAGCTATGATTGTATGTAGCATCTTTTGGCATTCTTTGAATTTTTGTGTGAAAAGGTGCCGGTTGATAATGGACGAATTTTCATAAAGTTTGACAAAGGTTTTGACCGATGAATCCAAACGATCATTAAAATCACGGAATAATTGAAATTCACGTTCCGTGAACATGTTATTTCTATTCAGCACATACAATTTCACAAGTGTCTTGAGTATTGATTCACTCAAACGATCTGCTAAGCGTTCACTGTGGGTAAAGCCTTGTGCCAAATTATGTAGATTCGTCAGAATGCGAGTCAAATTTTCTGGAAAAAGAATTCTGGCTATATACTTGTTGGACAGTTTGCTAGTGCAAGAAATACACATCAAGTCGTTGGTATAGTTTGCTGTCGTTGACTATATGTAAAGTAGACTCACCCGAAGAGTTTCTTCTGAAGTCGAAAAAGAAAGTTCTATGTTGCAGCACTTGAAGAAGTTTCCAGTTCGTTGGCTGAACAAAAACAATATTTTTACTATGGCAGTGATCCATACCGAAATAGAATAGCTGTAAGCAACTATCTAAATGCTAAGAAATTGATTTTTC